AGGAAGGCCAAGAAGTTGGATCGCTGAGTTCCACATAATAAATGCATTTACATAAACAACACTACCTATTAGGAGTTGTATTCTGTTCCAGCCAAGCCACCACTCGAATGAGGAATAAATGTCGCATCATGGAACTCTCCCGCTCTCGTGTTGTTTCAATCTCAGCAAATGCGTGGTACAGACTGAAATGTTCATTTGCTTGAGGATAATGACGAGCAATAACTTAAGGATATTCCCATCAGCGGTAAGAAAACAAAACTAACGTGAAAACGCCATTCGATAGCCAATATGCAAAAATGACATCTATGGTGTAATGCGTCCGACTGATTATCATACAAATCATTCCTATGCATGCCAGTATCCACGATACATATCTGCAGTTAGTCATGTGTAATTGATGATAAAAGCTGAAACAACAAAAGAATGAGCACCTCAACGGTCTGATGGAATCAGGAAGGTAGTAGGAGATGGTCAGTGCACTGGTCACCATCGATATTGTATGACCCGAGAAGAGCAAATCACCACACAGCATTTTCGCGTTCACATCCTTAAATTTCAATTGGTATTACTTATTGATCGCACTTTATTGATATGAACATCACTGCTTGAACTGATCGTCACCAAAAGCAAATCTATGATCGTTTTCAATCAAAATGCATGTACACAAACATATTCAAATACCTGGAAGCCGAATTTATAAGCCTGCTCTAGAATTCGCAACGCAAACAAATCCCAGCTGATAATAGACTGATTTAACTTAGCACGACATTGCGAGTCATTATCAACGTAACCGGAGGGGAGTTGGGTGCAGAGCAGTGATACGGTTCGCATTGAATACAGACATGCTGAAATTGGGATGGCAATTCAGTCGGTTTAATCGTTGAGCTCGAAAATTGACTTTTGATATCACTATTGTTATTATCACTGCTATCGTTACACTGAATTGCATGGACCCGATTAGAAATCGAAATGAGTGGACGTCATCGATACTTAAATTCACGGCGATGCTTGAATGAACGATGCAAATTCTCGATCAGCTGAATAAATATGGAATCAATCGGTTGATTCATCGTCATTCAACAATCGACTCGTATCTAAACAACTCGCAATAAATCACTGAACTAACCGAAAATGAAAAAAGTCCTTCTAAGAATAACGACCCGCTCGCGATGGCACACCACCAGAGTTATCAGAAATATCACACACAACATCACCATACCATCACCTACTTTCAAGGCCCATGTCTGCTCAGGTATCACCGCGAATACTACATCCGGTAACGCCTCTCTGAATTTGTTACAGTTTAACTTTATGCTAACAACAAATAAAATAATAGTAAAAATTATGATAATCATAAGTTTAAAATAATTTCTCCCACTAACCTCCCAACAAAATCGTGAATATAAGCGAGTGCGGCCAAATTGCTGAATGCAGCCAAAACGAGGAATAAGATGGCGAAGCAGAGTCTGCATGCCTCGTGGGATTCATGTGAACGGGATATGACATAAGGATTGCTCATAGCGATTCTTTTCAACGGGTGTTGCTCGTGATCTAAATCTAGATCTAGTTCGATATTGCGGTGATCGGATGAGTCTGAACTCAATGATCTTCGTATAATCACGCCGATTGGCTTTGATCCGGATTTTGATGGTGATGACAACTGAATTTTTCATTGGATAATTATAGCAATAACAATTATTATTATCATATCCAAGTGAAGCATTGCTCTGTTCAACAGTTGTAAAAGGAACAAAGGATGAGACTGGAAAAGAGTACTAAAATTATAGTGAAATCGCTTTCTACATACATTTCCGGTTGAATATTCTCTGGAACGTCTTCAGAAGATGAATTTTGAAAGATTAAAAACTTTATCTGAATGAGAAATACGTAAAAATGTGCAGTTATAAGATAAAATAATATGAATGATAGCGCAAATAATAACAATGAATAACAGAGCAATGATACTGATATCGTTAAAATTGACGACGTTCCAGTGAAACACCTTTGAATTGGAACAAAACCGAATGGTAATATGAAACTTGTTTGTTAGTCAACGTAACAATACAGTCATTTGTTAATATTATCAATGACAATAACAATGACACTGATAATAACAAATGAAATAAATTGCCGTAAACACCATTCGACTGATCTATTTGGCAGTGATCAGTTGATTAGGAAAGAACATTTGAGAGATGTTGAATAAAAGGTATAGTTGACGAAATAAATTTGGAAGGAATTCGAGTTAGAAAAATAGAAGTGAAAGAAAAGGAAATTGAACGGAATAATTTATGAACAACTTTTGAGGAAATAAGTTCTGATAGAATGATGGATTATGATGGATGGTTGACGAGAACGTTGAGAATGAAACAATGAAATAACGATCGTTTGAAGCATTGAAGTTGTTATCGGTGAACAATTCGAATGAACACAATTGAATTATTAATCCATTCGAATCAAATAAATAAATCAAAACGAAATATGTTCATTGACGAACAAATACAAATATCAATCAGGTTTGCAGTCAAAAACGACAAATCGAATGAATTTCAATTCAATTCATCATCGAATCATCATCCATCTCTCACACCGACAATTCCACGTTATATTCACTTCAGAGTGCATCATTCTCCCAGCTGCACCATGCGAAATACCAATTGATTCATTTTGTTGTGTGCATTCATCAATTATTCATTCAGTCATCATTTACGATAAATACCTTTCTTGATGATGCTTTTATTCTCATGCAAACTTTCACGTTGTTTTGAGGCTTGAGTAGAAATGAGAGCAGTGGAAAAGATCGGCGAAGAGTTTTCTTTATTTCACGCTCATTCTCGTTGAAGGGGTATTGAAATGGTCGGAGTAGAGAGAAAAATGCGAAAAAGTT